ACACCCACACAAATACTATCATAGGCTCCATTCAGCTTACTTTGACCTACTCACTGAAATAGGAATGGAAGAGCTACTACCATTCAAACAAATGTTTCTGTCAATCATGTATCCCACCTTCATTAACTACTTGGGCCCTACAGCCAACGTAAGTTTGCCAATCTCAGAACTTAGAGAGCTTGCAAGCAAAGCTTTTGAGGCATCAAAAGTGAGCCGCTCTAAGAGCCCTGATGTCTCGGTTTTCAATATTGAGCAGGAGCACTCATTCCAGTTAGAGGGTGCAGAATCAAGGATAAGAGCAGTGAGTGATGACACACAAAAAAACGGTACCTACCACGAAACAACCAAACCAATAACCTTAGCGGTAAAACTAACTGTACCGAATGTTCCCAACCAAACCGGGACCGTAACGATCAACATGGCCGCCACATTCCTGCACCCAACCCACAAAAAAGGTAATGGTACAAGAATAACAAGGGTGACAAAGGGTTCAATGAACACCAAAGCATACACCAATACTCTCAACAAGCTCAAAGATAAGTCGCCATGACTAGGCGTGGACTCGCCGAACAACAGGTCCGCAGAAATTAACACCATTTGCGAGGACGTGAACGATCAAATTATCCCAGCACTCACTCCAAACCCTATCCAGGGCCCGCTCGATCAAGAAACAAGCCCACCGGATTTGTTTACAGACTCGGATACAGATGTGGAAAGGCACAAGGTAAGCAGCGTTGCAACGGTTGATTCCTCTCCCATTCCGATAGAGGACCCACTGCGTCACGAAGGTGGGTTATCTGTCTTGGAAATCAACTCGGATAACCCACGGCTCTGTTCTTCCAACCCACCCCACTTTGTTGGGGATCTGACCAGAAAAACCAACTCGAACAGGCCATATCTCAAAGCAGTCTTAGAGGACTGTTTGACATGTGATGCACTGATAAATTCAGGTTCGACTACATCCCTCATATCTCAAACTTTGCTGGATGAACTCAAAAGGACAGTGTACCCATCAAAACGTTGGTTAAAAATGGAACATTGCGACACTACACTTCGAGGTTTCACTCAGGCTACCTCGCCTTTAACCAAGCGCCTCCTACTAAAACTGACCTTCAAAAGTGTGTCACTTAACAGATGCTGATTGGGATAGATTTAATTGACCGTTTGGTACCACTGATGGATTGGAAAACCAACCAAGTCTGGTCACAAATAACTATGCCATCTCCGTTGACCCCACCGCCTTCGTCAAAGAATACATGCAATACATTATGCAACGACGTGGGTTCGGCGTCATCAACTGACGTACCCCCGGTGAACTGGGTCATGAGTCCGCCATTTGTGGCAAATGATAGGGAAGACAAGTTCAACTCGGAAATTTACCGAACATGGGGTTTTCCTGTGTGGCTTGGGTGAATCACCAGCCAACACATACCGGCCTCCACTGATAGGTGGCGTGTGCCTAAACGGCACAATGATTGAGTATGCCATACTGGCAACCTGGTTGGAAAAATCTGCAATCAGTTTGGAAATGTTCAACAACATTTCGAAAACGTCTCACTGCCACCCCCTTGTTCTGAAAACATTCAGATTCCCACTGGGAACGACTCCCCAGACGGCACTCCCCACTTTAGGAGTATGTGCGCTATCACTCCGCATCGGAACCAAGGAAGTATCTCACTACCTACTGGTTGTCGCGAACCTCCCACATACTATGTGGGAGCGGACAGTTTGGTAAGATTGGGTGTTAAACCACGTTCTTACCCAACTAGGAACAGCTGGGGCTAAACTGGCTATCATGAAAGGACAATGGTGCAGGACCAAGGTCAACTATGTTGGACTTCTGGTGGGTGCTGAGGGCATCCTGCCAACATTCTAGCAGAATCCAAGCAGTCCGTGTCGTGGATAATTATCACTATACTTGTTAACAATCAAAAGTTTTTCCAGAGTTTTTGTTGAATCAAGATAGACTTTTATTACACAAAGCAACGAAAGCCGAGCTGGTCCATGGAGTAGCTGCTTGCCATGACTCGGAGCTCTCCTTTTATACAGACACAAATGCATAGTCAAGCTTATACAACATACATAGTTACTCCTCTCTATGTGAATGAATAACATCTTTCAGTGTCACATGTTGGTTACTCACAAGGCAATGTGTGTTTCTCTAAGTGGGGCTTCTGTCTCTTATTAATGGCGTGACTCAAAAAATTATATACATACGTACGTTAAAGAATAATCACACTCTGTATTGACTATATTCACTATCCAGGCATGCATCTGGAGTACAAAGTATAAATCATGTTCATTCTGTTTTACATTTATCATTTCATAACACATTATAAAACATATCAATTAATACTTAAACATGGTTTAAACATGTCGTCCGTAACCCATTCTCAACCACATACGTTTAGCCTTTACCAACAGCCATCCTCCCAGGACCCTGAGCCACTATGTTTTTTCCTTGTGACTATGTGCATGTAACTACAGTTGAAGTCGGAAGTTTACATAAACCTTAGCCAAATACATTTAAACTCAGTTTGTCACAATTCCTGACATTTAATCCTAGTAAAAATTCCCTGTCTTAGGTCAGTTAGGATCACCACTTTATTTTTTTAGAATGTGAAATGTCAGAATAATAGTAGAGAGAATGATTTCTTTCAGCATTTATTTCTTTCATCACATTCCCAGTGGGTCAGAAGTTTACATACACTCAAATAGTATTTGGTAGCGTTGCCTTTAAATTGTTTAACTTGGGTCAAACGTTTCGGGTAGCCTTCCACAAGCTTCCCACAATAAGTTGGGTGAATTTTGGCCCATTCCTCCTGACAGAGCTGATGTAACTGAGTCATGTTTTTAGGCCTCCTTGCTCGCACACGCTTTTTCAGTTCTGCTCATACATTTTCTATAGGATTGAGGTCAGGACTTTGTGATGGTTACTCCAATACCTTGACTTTGTTGTCCTTAAGCCATTTTGCAACAACTTTGGAAGTATGCTTGGGGTCATTGTCCATTTGGAAGACTCATTTGCGACCAAGCTTTAACTTCCTGACTGATGTCTTGAGATGTTGCTTCAAAATATCCACATAATTTTCCTTCCACATGATGCCATCTATTTTGTGAAGTGCACCAGTCCCTCCTGCAGCAAAGCACACCCACAGCATGATGCTGCCACCCCCGTGCTTAACGGTTGGGATGGTGTTCTTCGGATTGCAAGCGTCCCCCTTTCTCCTCTAAACTTAACGATTACGTCGATATAGGACTTGTTTTACTGTGGATATAGATACTTGTGTACCTGTTTCCTCCAGCATCTTCACAGGGTCCTTTGCTGTTGTTCTGGGATTGATTTGCACTTTTCGCACCAAAGTACGTTCATCTCTAGGAGACAGAATGCGTCTCCTTCCTGAGCGGTATGATGGCTGCGTGGTCCGATGGTGTTTACACTTGCGTATTATTGTTTGTACAGATGAACGTGGTACCTTCTGGCATTTGGAAATTGCTCCCAAGGATGAACCAGACTTTTGGAGGTCTACAATAATTTTCTGAGGTCTTGGCTGATTTATTTTGATTTTCCCATGATGTCAAGCAAAGAGGCACTTATTTTGAAGGTAGGCCTTGAAATACATCCACAGGTACACCTCAAATTGACTCAAATTATGTAAATTAGCCTATCAGAAGCTTCTAAAGCCATGACATCATTTTCTGGAATTTTCTAAGCTGTTTAAAGGCACAGTCAACTTGTGATACAGTGGATTATAAGTGACATAATCTGTCTGTAAACAATTGTTGGAAAAATTACTTGTGTCATGCACAAAGTAGATGTCCTAACCGACTTGCCAAAACAATAGTTTGTAAAAAAAAAAAAAGGGTGTGTCTTACCCTTGGAGCTCAATCCAGATCGACTGGGTCGGCCCAGTTTCCAGGTCGGCAAGAGGCAACAAGTATCTCCTCACAGTGACTTGCGTATTCACAAAGTGGGTGGAGTGCCTGCCCGCACCCAATGACACAGCAGAAACCACAGCCGTTCTTTTGCTCAACCACGTTTTCAGTCGTTTCGGCCTGACAGGAGAAACCGTGGACAGCGACAGAGGAACCCATTTTTCGGCTGCTGTAATGACCGAACTGTGGCGGCTCCTGGGAGTCAAAGCTAAACTCCACATTGCGTACCACCCTAGGAGCTCTGGCAGGGTAGAGAGGAGCAACCAGACAATCGTCAGAATCCTGAGGAAATATGTGGCAGCCAACCACAAAGATTGGGACCTCAAACTCCCACTGGCACTGATGGCGATCAGAGCCACACACAACAGGTCTACGGGAATAATACCATTCTAGATAATGACGGGCCGGCAAATGACGCTTCCATTGCATCTCCTGTACCAACCGGGAGATGTCGCCGCAGCCACCAGCTCATCAATACGTGACGGACTTGCGAGCCCACCTCCAGACTACCTTTGCGTATGTGCAAGGAAAGTTGGAAAGAAGTGCAGAAGGTGACAAGACGCACTACGACAAAAATGCCTCACACCATGTGTTCGAGGTCGGGGACAAGGTATGGTTTTACATATACACCAAACCCGTGGGCGTCGCGACAAAGTTCCTGCCCCACTGGACGGGGCCACACGAGATTGTGGTCAAATTGACACCTGTGGCTTATTAAATCAGAATCAGCAAAGGTCAACAAAACACCACAGGAACCAAATCAAGTTGTACACTCTCCCATGGGAATAGAAGGGGTGCAAGACAGCAGTGAATAGATAGAAACCTAGCAAATCAGAGGTACTAAGAAAATTCTTAAGTATCCTCAGCTGATCCCTTCCAGGAAATCAGTACGTTGCACCTAACATATTTTCTTCTCTTCTCAGCTAGAAGATATACGTTTCGTTGCAATTGCTGATATTGTACTGTTCGAAAATAGGAAAATCAGCTAACCTTGTCAAAACATTTTAATTTATAAAAAATATATAACTGAAACAATCAAACAATATCTCTATGTGTTTTGTAGGATGGAGTTCCTTTGGCTGATTCTGACACTGTGCCCTGGTCAAAACCAATCCAGCAGATGTACTCACGAACGGACCCCCTACGGAAATCGTTCTCTGTGATGATCCAGGACTCCTTATAACCAACTGCAGAGTACACACGCAGAGGGTGTACGTCCGCCTAGATGCAGAAAATGTGTACCGCCAACACATTACACCTGTGGCACATTTGAGTTGGGCCGGGGCTGATTGGACCACCCAGGCAGTAAAGCACGCCCAGCTAGACACTGTCCATATATTGACCCAACACCAAAAGTTCACAGTCACCCAGTCAGAATTAGCAGAGCCCAGGCGAGAAAAACTATTTGTTGGGGCTCTACTCTCGATAGGTGCAGCCGCAGGGTCACTATTTTCTCTAGGCACCACTGCTGTCAACGCAGTCAGTCTAGCCACAGTCAAAAGAAATGTTAGGGAGATTACTGAAGAGATGCCACTTATCCAGCAACAGATGAAATCACAGGCACTCAGGTTGCAACATATGGGAAAGTCTCTCTAGGACACTATTCTGGTGGCAAACACACAAGCTACTCTCCTGAACAAAACCCTCCTGTCGCTAGGAAAGCTAGTAGAGGTCATGAACCATGACTATGCCCATGTCCAATTGGTTCGATTATTGTTGGAGGATTTTCTCTGTGAAGTTAACTCTTCTATGGACGACTTGGCCATGAATATAATCCCCTCTTATCTAGTGCCTCTCTCAATGGTGCACAACATATTGACCTCAGCTACCACAACCACAATAAAGCCATTACAGTCACATTTGGTCTATAGTCTGGGGTTTGCAATTCCAATGCATGTTGATGTTAATCGTAACAAAGTGGGATTTTTACTGACGCTACCGGTTGCTGAACTGGAGAATATCTACAGATTGAAAACGGTTCTAAACATAGGGTTTTGGCGCGACAGCACCCATGTGAAAATCACCACACCCCCAATCGTAGCTTATCAGGAACACAATCCAGATTTCTATCTTACCCCTAACCTGTTAATGTGTACTCTAACCAAAGACGTCCACTACCTTTGTCCTAGCAAACCATTCGTCAGGGATAACACTGAGCGCCTTTGTGGACTTAAGCCTATCGCCAGCGAAGAACGCTGTAGAGCCAAACTAACAGCAAGGGATGGGGTCACCACCACACAGGTGGAGGTGGTAGGGAATCGATGGCTGGTTAACACCTCGTTCACGTCCGACACTATGACTTATGAACGCCATGACTCAACCACCCAACTTGAACCTCCCCAACCAGACTGTTTTTGTTAAGGTACCAGAGGGGGAGATTATCCATATAGACGACCTAGCCCTGTACCAACTTCCTGACGACAGGATAGGCACAGATATTGAAATGCATAACGCTTCTGCTAAACGTTCCCTTGAGTTACCACAGACCATTCAAAACCAAATCCAGTATGAAAGACCAATGACTGTTGATCTTAGCGTACTGAATGAAGCACTCTTAGTTGACCCGACTGACTACAAGCCAAAAGATTGGTCTGTCACCCGCTCTTGGACGGTGCCGGACAGTATTCTGAGTGTTACCATGATCCTTGGTCTTATTGCCCTTGGCGTGTGCACCTACTATGTACACAGGTGCACACGCCTCATTAGGCAGACCTAATGAGGTCTTATGTCAGGATCATCTGTGGGACGGAAGCAATCCCGATTTTTAGAAAGTTGGCAATAGATCCTAAAACGCCATCAGATGGTCCATCCACAGCATCCCCAGCCTCTTCTCCAGAGCCCGCTAGGTCAGCCCTGTAGTGTCCCCAATGCAAGCTTTGTCCTTCAGGGTGCCATTTTAGAGAGCCTTAACTACCCACCTTCAAGTAGGATCGCCCTAGATATGACGTGAGAGATGGCAGGTAGCTTAGTGGTTAAGAGCGTTGTGCCAGTAACCGAAAGGTCGCAGGTTCTAATCCCTGAGCTGACTAGGTGAAAAATCTGTTGATGTGCCCTTGAGCAAGGCACTTAATCCCTAATAGCTCCTGTAAGTCGCTCTGGATAAGAGTGTCTGCAAAATGACTAGAATGTAGAGACAATGCGATAATAGAGTCATTTAGCCAAGACATGGGACGTACAGTTGAAGTCAGAAGTTTACATACACTTAGGTTGGAGTCATTAAAACTCATTTTTCAACCACTCCACACATTTATTGTTAACAAGAAACAGTTTTGGAAAGTTGGTTAGGACATCTACTTTGTGCATAACACAAGTACTTTTTACAACAATTGTTTACAGACAGATTATTTCACTTATAATTCACTGTTTCACAATTCCAGTGGGTCAGAAGTTTACATACACTAAGTTCACTGTGCCATTAAAGAGCTTGGAAAATTCCAGAAAATGATGTCATGGCTTTAGATACTTCTGATAGGCTAATTTACATCATTTGAGTCAATTGGAGGTGTACCTGTGGATGTATTTCAAAGCCTACCTTCAAACTCAGTGCCTCTTTGCTTGACATCATGGGAAAATAAAAAAAATCAGCCAAGACCTCAGAAAAGAAATTGTAGACCTCCACAAGTCAGGTTCATCCTTGGGAGCAATTTCCAAACGCCTGAAGGTACCACGTTCATCTGTACAAACAATAGTATGCAAGTATAAACACCACGGACCCACACATACCGCTCAGGAAGGAGACACGTTCCGTCTCCTAGAGATGAACGTACTTTGGTGCGAAAAGTGCAAATCAATCCCAGAACAACAGCAAAGGACCTTGTGAAGATGCTGGAGGAAACTGGTACAAAAGTATCTATATCCACACTAAAACTATTCCTATATCGACTTAACCTGAAAGGCCGCTCAGCAAGGAAGAAGCCACTGCTCCAAAACCACCATAAAAAAGCCAGACTACGGTTTGCAACTGCACATGGGACAAAGATCGTTCTTTTTGAGAAATGTCCTCTGGTCTGATTAAACAAACATATAACTTTTGGGCAATATGGCCATCGTTATGTTTGGAGGAAAAAGGGGGAGTTGGAAGCCGAAGAACACCATCCCAACCGTGAAGCACGGGGGTGGCAGCATCATGCTGTGGGGGTGCTTTGCTGCAGGAGGGACTGGTGCACTTCACAAAATAGTTGGCATCATGAGGATGGAAAATTATGTGGATATATTAAAGCAACATCTCAAGACATCAGTCAGGAAGTTAAAGCTTGGTTGTAAATGGGTCTTCCAAATGGACAATGACCCCAAGCATACTTCCAAAGTTGTGGCAAAATGGCTTAAGGACAACAAAGTCAAGGTATTGGGGTGGTCATCACAAAGCCCTGACCACAATCCTATAGAAAATATGTGGGCAGAACTGAAAAAGCGTGTGCAAGCAAGGAGGCCTACAAACCTGACTCAGTTACACCAGCTCTGTCAGGAGGAATGGGCCAAAATTCACCCAACTTATTGTGGGAAGCTTGTGGAAGGCTACCCGAAACGTTTGACCCAAGTTAAACAATTTAAAGGCAACGCTACCAAATACTAATTGAGTGTATGTAAACTTCTGACCCACTGGGAATGTGATAAAATAAATAAAAGTTGAAAGAAATCATTCTCTCTACTAGTATTCTGACATTTCACATTCTTAAAATAAAGTGGTGATCCTAACTGACCTAAGACAGGGAATTTTAACTAGGATTAAATGTCAGGAATTGTGAAAAACTGAGTTTAAATATTTTTGGCTAAGGTGTATGCAAACTTCCGACTTCAACTGTATATAGAACATAGTCCAGTTAGATGACTAAGGTCACTATATCTTGTATATCTTTTGTTTGTGTTTTTGTCTGTTTTTGTTTCATTTCCTTTGTCACTTAGGAAGTGATAGAGCCACAAACAAGTTCCCCATACAACCACCAGTCAGTGCCACAGCGCCGTTCATTTGGGGAAGAAATTTAATGATGTACAGTTGAAGTCGGAAGTTTACATACACCTTAGCCAAATAAATTTAAACTCAGTTTTTCACAATTCCTGACATTTAGTCCTAGTAAGAATTACCTGTCTTACGTCAGTTAGGATCACCACTTTATTTTAAGAATATGAAATGTCAGAATAATAGTAGAGAGAATGATTTCTTTCAGCTTTTCTTTCTTTCATCACATTCCCAGTGGGTCAGAAGTTTACATACACTCAATTAGTATTTGGTAGCATTGCCTTTAAATTGTTTAACTTGGGTCAAACGTTTCGTGTTGCCTTCCATAAGCTTCCCACAATAAGTTGGGTGAATTTTGGCCAATTCCTCCTGACAGAGCTGGTGTAACTGAGTCAGGTTTGTAGGCCTCCTTGCTCCCACACGCTTTTTCAGTTCTGCCCACACATTTTCTATAGGATTGAGGTCAGGGCTTTGTGATGGCCACTCCAATACCTTGACTTTGTTGTCCTTAAGCCATTTTGCCACAACTTTGGAAACATACTTGCGGTCATTGTCCATTTGGAAGACCCATTTGCGACCAAGCTTTAACTTCCTGAATGATGTCTTGAGATGTTGCTTCAATATATCCACCTCATTTTCCTTCCTCATGATGACATCTATTTTGTGAAGTGCACCAGTCCCTTCTGCAGCAAAGCACCCCCACAGCATGATGCTGCCACCCCCGTGCTTCACGGTTGGGATGGTGTTCTTCGGCTTGCAAGCCTTCCCCTTTTTTCTCCAAACATAACGATGGTCATTATGGCCAAACAGTTCTATTTTTGTTTCATCAGACCAGAGGACATTTCTCCAAAAAGTACGATCTTTGTCCCTATGTGCAGTTGTAAACCGTAGTTTGGCTTTTTTATGGTGGTTTTGGAGCAGTGGCTTCTTCCTTGCTGAGCGGTCTTTCAGGTTATTTCGATTTAGAACTCGTTTTACTGTGGATATAGATACTTTTGTACCTGTTTCCTCCAGCATCTTCACAAGGTCCTTTGATGTTGTTCTGGGATTGATTTGCACTTTTCCCACCAAAGTACGTTCATCTCTAGGAGACAGAATACAAAAAAATAACTGTTTTCACTTTGTCATTACGGGGTATTGTGTGTAGATTGATGAGGAAAAAAAGTCATTTAATCTATTTTAGAATAAGGCTGTAATGTAATCAATGTGGAAAAAGGGAGGGGGTCTGAATTCTTTCAGAATACACTGTAGTGTATGTACTTTTGTAGGCTAAACGCGAATACGCAAATTTAAACTGGCAGTAAATGAAGCGAGGGGGTTCCTAATAAAAACAAAAACAAAGATACTTTTGCTGAGTTAGAAAAATAATAATAAGTAATTGGTAAATGGAAAAGTCTACGTGTGACAAACTCCAGTCTTTGAATGATGCTGTGTCTGCATGTATGTATTACAATTTAACACTTTAACAGTGTTTACCAATCCTGTTCCTGGGACATCAATGGTTACACATGGTCCCCTGTAGCTCACTTGGTAGAGCATGGCGCTTGCAACGCCAGGGTTGTGGGTTCGTTTCCCACGGGGGGCCAGTATGAAAAATGTATGCACTCACTAACTGTAAGTCGCTCTGGATAAGAGCGTCTGCTAAATGACTAAACATGTAAACAAACAAACATGTAACTCTGCAATATACTAGAACATGTTATTTAACTAGACAAAGGCTGATTTAAAAATAATATACACAGAACCAGAATTTAAAAAACTGTTCACTACACTTCCTATGCATAATGTAAATACTCTAAAACAGGTTCATCTCAATATCTAATTTCCTTCATCTGCACTGATCTGAGGACAAAGGATAGGTGTAGTATTTTATCAAATGAGATACTTAATTTCAACAAGTAGAGAATGTGAACAAAATCTAGTAGAGAATGTGAAAAGCTTTATTGAAAGAAGTTCATTTTCCAAGTGTTATAAATACATAATACATGCATTATAAATATTGTAATATAATAAATAAAAGTTCAATCTGTACTTCAATGCACATCTGGTGTGCATTATAAAAACAGACGAAGAAAGAGGAGATGGGGAGAGAGGTGTGAGAAAGATTGTCAAAGACAGAAAGGGAAAGAGATAAGAACAGAGGAGCAGGGAAGACAGCATATTATTAATGAATTACAGTGCTTCATATTCTCTCAGGTCATCACAATTACATAATAGTGTCTCTAGCGCTGTCTCCTAACCAGCCTTGGGCCCCCAGTTGGCCCGAGGGTTATCTTGGAGTGTACCTGCAGACAAGAGACAGATGGAGAGAGGGATAGCATGATTAAGCCTGGTGTTTGTTTTATTCTAACACTGTCAGTCATCATAATCATCAGGAGGTGAAATGCAAAACTGCCTTGATGACAGCATTGCACATTCTTCGCATTCTCTCAACCAGCTTCACCTGGAATGCTTTTCCAACAGTCTTGAAGGAGTTCCCACATATGCTTAGCACTTGTTGGCTGCTTTTCCTTCACTCTGCCATCCGACTCATCCCAAACCATCTCAATTGGGTTGAGGTCGGGGGATTGTGGAGGCCAGGTCATCTGATGCAGCACTCCATCACTCTCCTTCTTGGTAAAATAGCCCTTAAAGAGCTTGGAGGTGTGTTGGGTCATTGTCCTGTTGAAAAACAAATGATAGTCCCACTAAGCCCAAACCAGATGGGATGGCATATCGCTGCAGAATGCTGTGGTAGCCATGCTGGTTAAGTGTGCCTTGAATTCTAAATAAATCACAGACAGTATCACCAGCAAAGCACCCCCACACCATAACACCTCCTCCTCCATGCTTTACGGTGGGACCTACACATGCAGAGATCATCCGTTCACCCACACCGCGTCTCACAA